AAATTGCATTTGGAATAATGCATGATACGAAACGAATGTGTTTGGTGACATCTTGTTAAAGTTCGACAAACTTCCTTCGAGCATTAACCTCACAGGAATAGACAAAAGTGAAGCAGTAAAAGAAAGAAGAGGAGAGAAAATAGATAGACGGCAGCCCTCCACCTTAGGCTGCGAACAAATTTCGGATGAGTCATTATTAATTGATTGCGTCAATCCTCACTAAGTGCTGCTGAACAAAAACTATCTTATCCGACTAATTCACTCTGTATCTTTCCACTGTGTACGATTGTCCAATTTTTTTTTTTACTTTTGCTATATATATATATATATATATATATATATATATATATATATATATAAAAAAAAAAGAAAAAAGAGAGAGAAGAGAGAAAAAGTTTCCTTTTGTGGTGGTGGATTGCGTGTCATCATCTAAATCTTGATAATAGTACCGTCTATTTTTGTTTTTCTTTTTATTTTATAATTAACTATAGAGATAGAATGGCAGAAGATGCCAATGTGTATATTTGGATCCATCCATCAGTTCCTAATAATAGGTGTCTTACTTTGACTTGGGTAAATCCTACTAGTGTTGTGTTAAAAAACTGTCCCAAGAATTGAGAGCCACAGTGGATTATAATCTGATACACTTTCCGTAATTTTAAATTGTACTTGGAATCTACAAATGTTTCGGATGACAACTTGTTGAGTTCAAAATTACAAATGAGGAAGAATAAAATCTTGCGCATTGGGCTTGTAGGGAATTGCGAGATTTGGGTACAATTTCAAGCGTGTGAACCTTTCCTACCTTCCTTCCACTTCTAATTGTTGCCCTAATTATGGAGATTGATTGGACCGGAATTGGTAGTCATTCCATCGTTCTACGTCAAATTAGTATAACGTATTTTTCTATAAAAAAAACCTTGAAAAATATCAATTTACACGGGACCTAAACTTTTGCCGACAATCTAATTCTAGATAAAAAAGGAAGAAGAGTTGCTAACATTCATGGAGATTGAAGGGTAGTATGTGGACTAACTCTCAAAAGTTAGTACCTCTAATAAGGGTAGTATGTTTTTACTTATTCCATCTAATAAGGAGAAATTAGGTCGTTGCTCCAATGTTTTACTCTAATTAGCTGGTGACGTGTACTACTCCTAGTACATCGGAAGAGTTTTTTTTTTCACTTGGCCTTGTGTGGGGGGGGGGGGGGGGGGGCCACATAATGACAAGACTCTTGTGTGAGTTGAAAGGGTCCAAAGTATGTAACCACCGTAGAGAGAAACAAAATGGGCTCTTCTCTTTTCACTCTCACTGGCCCCACCAACCACATACAGCAAGATTTCGAGGGTGAGGTCTTTTTTGGACTCTTATCAGTTGTTGGGGCACGTGTACGATAAGAAGGACGGCCGATAGAGACAGAGAGGTAGAGACCATATTCAGTCCACCGACCCAATTCACAGATGACATCTGCTCATCTAGTCCAACTTACACTTTTTCAAGACTGCTTCATCACGGCCCAAATGCCACTCTTCATCCCTTTTTTTTTCCCTTCTTTATTTATATATTGCTTTGCTTGAATTTTCTGGCAATGGAAACTGAAGCAAGGAGGGAACTAGCCTTGCTTGAGATTTTAATAATTAGTGAGAATATCCGTGCTACGCACGGTGCTAACATTATTGAAAAAAATAAAAATAAAATGGTGAACAAATAAAGGTGAAAAAATTGCACCAGCAAAATCAAAATGTAATATCTGTTTAATAATAGTTTGAAATATAATAGAGTGTGTATATCATTCAAGAACTGTCTTTTTTCGGAAGATGGATCCTGAAAAAAAAATTATATTAAAAAAGGGAATGATATATTTCTACAAATGAATGTAATTAAATGTTGTTAAAATGAAATACTTACAAATACTAAGCATTCGATTTGATAATCTTGCTTGAAGGTGTGAATACTCTTCACACCAATCCATTTTTATTACGAATTTCAAAATTGGTGATTTAATTAACTCTGTTGAATTTTGTGGAGTGCGTACTACAAATGAAAATACACGATTTTTGCATGAATTAATTCATTGGCCGAACAACCTATCACCATTTTCCTGATAATTAAGAACGTGCAAAATTAGTATATTTTTTTTACATAGTTTATAAATAGTACTATAAAAAATAAATATATATTAAGAAATTCTACATTCCTTTGTAATTTTCTGAGATAAAAAGTATCACAACAAAATACAAATCGTGCATGTCTGTCTTGTAGATTAATATGTATGTTACTACTGGAATCTCTAATTTATATGTTAACATTGTACCTGTTTGACAAATAAAATATTATATGCAATACAGAAAAATATATTGAAGTTAAATATACATGAAATTAATTACCTAATAACAGTATCAACCGCGTCATTACAATGCATACATACTGTCTTTGAAAAATGATTTTCACATAGTTGTCCACAATTTTTGCATAACTCGTTGAACATATTTTCTATGTTAATGCTCTGAATATAATTAAATATTCGAAAATATTTAACCTAATAAGAATGAAAGAAGATATAGGTTATGATTATAAATTAAAAAAATCGTTCAGTAATTAATTAAAATTGAGTAAACTTACCATAGGCATAATTGTATATTCAGATATCCATATTCTCTTTAAATTTACTATCAACAGTGCTTGTGGTGTTTGTGAAATTGCTTGATCGCAGCCACGTAACTAACTTGCGAGCACATGTATTATTTTCAAACCTGCAATTTTTTTGAAATACATGTCAATAAGAGTACGAAACAATATTAATAGTTTGATACAGTGTTACTGAGGAACTCACTAACTGCGCAGGTATCGAGCAAAATTTAAATTGTGATTAATATACAATTTGCTAGCTCCAATTGTGCACAGTAATAGTCCTGCATAGTATGATTATGTTCGCTCAAAAGCTATTCAAAATATATAGAATATAACTAAAAGCAATTGATTTATCTCTGAAATTTCATACGCAAATACCAAATGCTAATAAAATATTTGGTTTGTTTGGATTGCTTCATATTTCCCCAATTTTATTTGCTTACATCATCTTTACAATTTTCAATACACCTTTTTATCCTCCCAATATCTTTTTATCTCACATACATCACATCACAAAAAGTGCTACAGTAAAAATATCCCAAATAATCCCAAATAACTTACAATCCAAACTGACCCATTATTTTTTGTAGCAGACTGATATAACCATTCACCATTATCATTAGCAAATTTATCCCACAATATGAATCGAGCTACTGTCAGGCTGTGTTAACAAAATTTTGATAAGTGCAAATCTAAATTCTCTAAAAATAAAAAGTTTTAAAGATGTCGAAATTTGTTAACTAACCTTTTGTCAACCAATAGTATCTCCCGACCAATTTTGTTATTAGTAGATATCTGATAGTATGGACTAACAGATACAACTAAACCAATTACATCTGTAATAAATAAAAAATTTTAATTAATAGCAAGTGATTTGCAGAAAATATAATAAAAATGATATTAATTGTGAGGACGTACCTATCAATTGCATATCATTGTCCATGTACTGTTCTATACGTCTCAATTTGACCAAATTAAACTTGAAACGGGGGATGGTTGCACAATTATCTAAAATCTTCACTATTTTTGTATCATTCTCAAATGATAACTGGAACTGATGTGGTGCAATCCGGTACTTGGCATCTGCTGGGATTGCATGTATATTCTGAAACAAATATATCTTACCTTCACGGAGGTGTTGTCCGAAAATACTAAGCATACTACTCCCTCTTATTATTCCTTGCATGTCAAATTTCTGATAATTTTTTAAAAAAGCTAGTAAATATTAAAACTCAACATAATAAATAAGATATGATTTGAATGATTACCTGATCATTAATAAAAAGCATTTTGATGCACCCTGAACGCTAAAACACTCCAGATATCGTCATATCAATTAATCTAAATAATCTAACATTTATATTCCATGTACATCTTTGAAGGTCCAGATAAATCAGAGGTGTATATCAAATATCTATAAATATTGAATAACATATTAATTAATTATTTAAATTGATGGAGGATGCTATGTTTGGAGGAGTTTTAATTAGAGTGAAAATTTTAAATTGGAGGATAGTGGGAATATTTCAAATTTAAATTTGATTGGTGATAAGGTGGGTTATAATCCACTACTTTTATGATTAAAATAAATACAAAAATCTAGAAAAAAGAATGAGAAGTTTAGAAGTCATTGAGAGGGTTTCTGCTAAAAACCCTTTCTTGAATACATATAGATATAGATTTCCTAAGGCTACTAGTATTTGGAGAATATATATATATATATATATATACACACACACACACAAAAATGAAAGGTCTTGAATGTAGGATGTGTTTTCGTATCATTATAGTAGTTATTCATGCATATTTGATGTGCCAAAATCATGTTTTATTATGACGTCTCTACGGATATTTTTTTATTTTGGAGTTCATGATAAATGAAGGTTAGGAAATGCAAATTGTTAAACTTAAAACTGGTTATAATTACTTCAAAATAGGTGGAAAGACAATAATATTAGAAGCGTTCTAGAGAAAGATAAAATCAAAACTTGCAACATAAAATGCAATTTATGCTCTTAAACAAAAAGAGTTCAAATGTTTAATAGAACAAATTTTTGTCGTTTAATAATTTTTTATTTTTTGGACAACTATGGGAAAAAAGTGACATAGTATTATTATAATTTTTTTTTGAAAATATAATTTTCTATTCGAATAAACTCATTCTAATTGTCAATAACACTCCATAAAAAATCTTCTACTCCATTTTTCGGAATGTAAACTTAAAATAACATGATGATAATTGTACCTGTAGCCTTTATTTTAAGTCCTCTACGAGTCAGAAAATGTTCATAAATTGTTTTATCTTCTAAAATCCAATGGCTAGACAAACAAAAATTACTCAATCAAACTCTTGTTGATGAAATCTCAATAGAAGTGGTTCATCAAATGAATCAAATCAAATAAAACTCTGTATTTTCAAAACCAAATATGAACACATTGTCGTAGATCTTTCCACTCCTTGCGCTAGTTCGTGTGTACTGTGTACTAATATCATAAACGACTGGGGCTGAATCAAAACTGGTTTACACCTGAGAGGGCAAATAAAATATGCTTTAAAAACAAGAAAGATTGTAGAATCAATTTGGAAGCCTGTCGATGACTCTCCTTCAACACGAATTCCACTGTGCAAGCGCGGGCTTTCTACTTGCAAGTACGATCTGCGTTCTTCAGAAATCTCCCTGCCTTATTTTCAATGATTATTTTGCTGTAGACTATTTTTCTTTTTCTGGGGTGGGTTACAATAACTTGCTTTTAAGACCAGCAGAGTATCTGGGCAACTATCATAATCCTTGGTTAATTGGGATCAGTCCGTATCATGGTAACTTTAATTAGCTTTTGAGTATCACATTGTTGCTGATTTTGGAAATCTATTTGACGGGGTGAAATAGGGTATCCCATTTGAAGCACAAAGATATACTTTTCTTTATGGGATTCCCTGTCTACTGAAGCAGAGCACATCCTTTGACAGAGTTCTAGGTGGAGTCTGTAATTTCAGCTGACTTCTTGCTTTATTAAAGTTGAATAAAGTGATTAGGAGTTTAAGGAACTAATGGCCATTTACGATTTTGAATTTTTGTCTCTTTCCTGTAAATTATGCTAAAATCACTCTTAAAATTGGAGGAAGATTTGGGAGAGGTTTCTAAGGATGGATTTTGAATTGTAATTTTCTTGAAAGGTAGAAGTGGGTTGCAGAATTAAGGGTTCCCGACAAGAAATGTCAAAGAGTGAATGTTTTCGAAAAGCTTCAAGAATTTAAAGATATGGTCACTTGAAAGAATGAAAAGTTAGTTTGGGGAAATGAGTCAGAGCTACTGTGAAGATTTTGTGTGTAGAAATGGGAGTGCCCTTGTATCAATGGCTAAGTTGAACTGCTGTTCAGCTGCTGCATGGCCAAAAATCAACTGATATTATGCTTTTGATTGTCTTATTTGAATTTTCTTCTTGTTGCTTTCTTTTTTCCGTTGGCATTCGAGTGTGTGAGTGGATTGCAATAAATCAACTGATCTGTGTTTTATTGTATTCACTTCGTGTTTTTGTCATCCAACAGTTACGTGCAAAATTGGCTTATTTGATGCGTTTGGTAGGGATGTGGTTAAAGGAAATCAAATCAGTTGTTCAGGAGTAATGGAGCGTGTTTATGTTGATGACAGGTGTTCCAGAAGTATTCAGTAATTTCTTGTTACCAAAATATGAAATCAAATCAGTGCTACTGCTCCTCGAGGCTCTAGTACACAAAGAAGAATTAAAGGTAGTATTATCCATCTAAACATTTTGAAGGTTGTATTATGCCATTTCATTCATTCTTGTTGTAGCACCTAGTTGTAATTTGTGAATAGTTAAATGTTTAAAGTGCTTAGTATCTTAATACCTAAGAAGTAAGTGAAAGATCTATCCATTCTTAATTACATGCTGACTGTAGCATTTTAGCCATCAAATCAATTGGGTCAAAATGTCACTTTTTTTTAATTTTTAATATTGACAAAGAACTCAATTTTGATAGAATGCCAGTTCTGGATAACTACCATTTTGTTGCGCTTAGTCTCCAGAGAAATAAATGTGTAGCCATTTCAAAATATTTTTGAAGGTCTTCTTATTCGCTGCATCAAATTACACTGTCTTGCCATTGCTTTGTATACCTAAATGCAGGAGGATATTATGGATTCAAATACATGCTGCTGGCTTATACAACTTGCCCTATGATAAAAAGAAACTTAGTTTGTTCTTGTTTTATATATATATATATATATATATTTTTTTTTTCTCTTTTGGTTGCTTTTTCCATCATGATCTGTCACCTCAGCGAAATACGAATTTTATTTCTCAAAATCTAGTTTTTATCTGACCTCAATAGGTACTAAATGAAATTCAATCCCAGCAAATTTTTTCATCCTATGGGAAATTGGAAACAAAAAATTTGCAGATGTGCACATGAATGGTCCTTTCTGTTGTATTAGCATCAGTTAATTATCTGTTGGAAAGAGTTGAACTGTTGAATATACGCTGGTAATGCAGTTATCAGTTGTAGTGTTGGGCCTTTTTCAGAGGGTATGGATTGACTTGCATCTCATGCTTGGCAATCAAAAACACAAATTTGATCCTTGGAATTACATGTAGATGGCTGGGTGCTTGAACGTGTTCCACTGGGATGATCAAGAAAAATCAATACTTGGTGACTAAAAAATGTGGGTTAATGATTAGTTTTCTAGATGTAATGTAAAATGAACAAAAGAAGAAGTGTTCAGTATTAAATATTATGCATTGAGTCTTTGCAAAAGTGTCCAGATTTGTTGCTATGCATATTTTTAATATTGTATATGAGAAATACATGAAACTGAAAGAGCTTATTTCATTATCTTCATTGAGTTAAATTTGATTTTTCAGTTATTTCCACAGGTTTGGCTAGGATTTTGACTGGTCAAGACTGATCAGGGGAAGATAATGTGGTAAGAGAAGTGAATGGAGTATGCCATTGGGTTACTATCAGATATTTGTGTCCTAAAGAAGCATAATATTGGCATGGTTGAGAAGCTAGGAACTGCCAAAGGTGCTATCTCAGGTAAAAGTGGGTCTACTGGCTTCTTCAGATATCATGCTCCCTATTGAGCCAGTTTGTGTTGTCTTAAATAGATGATAATCAGAAAGATTGAAGTTCCAAATAGGACCGAGTTCTCATCTGAGCTAAAGAAATGGGGTTTTTTTTTTAAACTGTTTTTCCTTCATCTGAATGGTAAAAGCTAGAAAACACCAGCTTTCTTGTTTGTAACTATTTTCATAAATTGTTTGAATGTTTCTGCCTACAAAGCAGCCCTTGTGGTTATGCACGTATTTCTTTATAACTTTACTGCTATTATCTCGCTTATGTTTAAAATGTTCAATGTTTGGGTGTAATTGCAGCATTAATTACATCGCAGAATTGTGGCGGTTTGGGGGATTTGTTGTTGTTGCTTCAATGAACAAAGAAAAGAATATCCCTAAGGACGATAAAAGTTCACTTGGTAAGTTTGTTGTGCTTCTGAGGGAAAGCAGAATTTCATTTGTCTTGAGTGTTAATTGAACTGTTCTGGCTAGAATGGACATGCTATTAGTTCAGAAATTCTTCAGTGCGTATATTAAATGTTTGACGAGTAGTTTGACTTCAGTGTACATACAGAAAATCAGTAGTAGATGAATAGTTCGGGATACAATACATATAGCCTAGAGTAAAATGATGGGTATGCTATATCTGCCCTGTTAGTACCATCTTCAGATTGCTATTTGAGTCTTAATCCATTTGCCTTTTCAAAGCTATTCTGTTTCTGAGAGTTGTGTCCTTCTTCACATTTGGCAATTTCATCTTGGTACCTATTTTCGCAAGTTTCTCCAACCAAGTCTACTGCTTTTTGTGATTCTCTTTCCCAATCTGTCTTGCTTATCACTGTCAGGATAGAGACCATGCATGCCACTTGAGCTGCTAAAAGCCCATAGCACAGGCCCAAAAACCCTTGTCCCCAAAAAAAGGCTAATGCTATGGCTACTGGTGTTCCCATCAAATAGAAGGAGTAGAAATTAATACCTGCAGCAGTACAGGGCCTAGCAGTTCCTCTGAGCACCCCACAGCATGTTGTTTGTGGACAATTGGCCAGCTCACACAGTCCAATTATGGGTAGTGTGGCCAGTGTTAGCTCTAGGACTTCAGTGTCTTTTGTAAATATCCTCCCCCATGCTTCTCTCCCTATGGTAGTCAATAAGAAGCCAAAAACTGAGGTTATAAAGGCCAAGCCTATGCCAACCACTGTTGCCAGACGTGCCTTGTATGGCCTGCCTGCTCCGAGTTCATTGCCTACTCTCGTTGAGATTGATGCACTCAGTGCTGAAGGCAGTGTGTACATGAGAGATGTGGTTTGTATGACTATAGCTGATGTTGCAAGAGCAACTTGAGGTCTTTCAAGATAGCCAGCTAAAAGTGTCATTATCTCATACCACCACCATTCCAGGCAAACTGCCAGACAACTTGGTAGGGAAAGTCGAAGTAGCATTCTCCAGTCTTCCCCTAACGAAGTTGAATTTGATTTGGGTGCTAGGGGTTTAGACAATGCCTCACTTGGTGCATAAGTGTAGTAAAGTAGGTAAGCAAGTAGGAAGAATAGGGTGTTAAAGTTGGCAACAGAGATTGAAATTGCAATTCCCTGAATTCCGAGATGAAGATTGAAGGTTAAGAAGGTGGTGATTGGGAGGTGAAGAATTATGGCAAGCAAAGTGCACCATAGGAGTGGCCATGTAATACCCTTGCTTCGTGAGTAGATGCGTATAGGATGAAGGAGGCTATTAGCAATAAGATCCGGGATTGCAAACCGGCAGTAGATGCTAGAAATATCTACTACCTCTGGGTCTTGGTGGAGACGTAACATCAGAGGCTTGAGATTGATCCATAACAACCCAATAGGCAAGGATGCAACAAGTAGCATAAGAATTGTTCTTCGTAGAATGAGAGACGCAATGCTTGTATTTCTTGAGCCAAAAGCTTGGCTACATAGTGGCTCCATTCCCATGGCTAGACCAGATAGTACAGAGTAACCAGTGATGTTGGTGAAGCCAATAGCTAGTGCTCCACCTGCTAGCTCGAGGCTCCCTAGCCTTCCCATGCATGTCACTGAAATCATGTTTTTCAGGTAGCCAGCCAAGCCGATTGCAAATATGGGAAAACTTATGTCTTTCATTTTCTTTAGTTCCTCAATTACCTGGCAAAACAAGGAAAAAGAGGCATGTCAGTGTAATTTCTTTAGCCATTTTATTTGATATGCTGGAAGTTTTTGAGATTTAGCAAATTGTACCTCTGAAACTGTCGGGCTCTTTTTGGTTTGCTCGGCTTCCATCTGATTCCTTTTTGTGTATTCTCCTTGTTTGCTTGACTTTTGATAGGTCAGGAAGATGAAGTCTGATGCAGTAAAGGATTAGAATCAAGGAATATTGACTAGAGAAGATGCTATTTTCTACCATGCAACCAACAGATGTGCATGCTCACACAGACGCACAACAGAGACAGGAACACACTGTCTTATACACGCACAAAATGAGGCTCGTGTCCAAAAGGATAAAGAGGGGGGCGCTATATAGTGCAGGGGGCGATGATCACTTTTTGAGATATTAGTGAGAGTTCTCAATCTGGGGACTGGAGAGTAGTAGAGTTGTGTAATAGAGCACTGTTAAACGTGTTATTCCCTTGTGTGATTAAAAAAGAGGTTCCCACATCCTAAACGACCCCTCCCCCCCTCCCCCCCTTGTGGTTTGTCATTTTGCTATATATGTGAGAACATATCCACATCCTCTTCACAAGTATCGCGCTCAAATGTTATAATACCTAAATCCACTGCCTATCTTCTTCACATGAAGAAGCTTTTCGTGCAGTAATATGGCAATATAATCATTATCATGTCATTAATATGATGTCTCTACGAAGATTATGTTCTTCCTCCCCTAGGCTAGGCCCTCAAACAAAAGGTTAATTACGTAAAGGGCCTTTTACCTAATCCAAAAAACTCACTTCCAACACTCAAAACTCTCTCTTTTTTTTTTTTACATCAGTATATTTAGTACTTAGATAGAAATCTCTCTCAAATTGGGTGTCCGCTTGTATTCTCGAATGGATTCCGACCAAATTGAGGCACCGTCAGTTTCTGGTGACGGCTATAAATGCAAAGAAAGAACGCTACGGATTAAATCCATGAGTTGTACAAAAAGCTCATTGATTAAACCAGAAGAATAAATGGATGGGTAAGGAAATTTGGACATGTTTAACAAGTAGAAGCAGACGCATAAGACTTTATTGTACGGGTGAGATGATGCTTTCAAGGAAACATTTTTTTAGGACCAAATGGACAGATGAAACGAGTAGACCCCAAAATTGAACCTTCTCACTAAATTCAGGGACTTCAACCCAAAAAAATTCGGTTTACCTTGTCTTCATCTTGCAAAGCTGCTGCTCCAAAAGTTTGGCAGTTTATTAGCCATCCTTGGGATTGCATATCGTTTGAAACTGGCTGATGGGATTTCATTTCAATCGATCTTGCTTTGGAAAGGATGGTGCCGGGGGGGTTAAGTTGTTAATGTTACTTTGGAAGAAGCAGATTAGTGACATGTAAATTGTCCTCTCTGAACTAATGCGGCAGTAACCAAGCGACTGACAATGACTTCAGCTTTTTTATTGTACGACAATCATACGACAGTACTTGTTCATGAGCAATGTATTGTGCTTTTGCTGGGCTCGTCTATTCTTCTGTTATAGGACTCTCCTTTGCATTCAAACTAACAACATAAGAAATAGGTTAATATATATCATTAATCTTGGGGTGGTGCCAGTATTTTCTTTCTTTTACTGTTATTGCCATTTAATTTGAAGATCACACCCGTTAATCTTTTTGATGCTGCTGGGAGATCCATGTCCCATGATTGTATTTTTAGAGTCCAAGCCGCTGCTGACCTTGAAAATTAATTTGAATCACCAACTTCATCCACTTTGTAAACAAAAAGGACAGGCCGGATTAAAATCAAACTGAAAGTTTGTCATTTCTAGACACGGTTAATGCTCAACTCTATATATATAGTTTCCAGTGCTACTTTATCTCATCATATTCTCATGATTCTGTACATCCTGACACAATCCATCCATCTTCTATTCTACTTGTACACTGCTGCTATTCTTCGAATCACAGTATCAAACGCTGAAAAAAAAAAACCATTTTTTACGTTTAAATTTCCGACCCTTTTGCCAACCTTTGAGATTTTTGTTCGTAATCTACCCTAGGGAACTACTCCCTAATCAAATTATGAATAATGATATACGGTAGAAACCATTTGAGCAGGACCACAGGAGTAATAGACTGCATTTGATTATTGAAATTAGGTCACACCTTTTTCCATGTTAATGATGGCAAGTATCTATAATTGGTGGTTGGAGATAGAAGCCTGTGCTTAGGTCTATGTCACATTCAACTTAATATTTATAGCCTTGGCAACATCCTTCCAATCTTATTATGCTTACGTGAAAATTCCTGTAGTAGTGGATCCAAGATCTCGGGGCCAACCCCTATGTTGTTCAGTACTAGCACGCTTCTTGTCTCTAAAGTCAGCATTAATGGTAATCTTAATTATTGTGATATATTACCCTGTTTGGATTCTTACTTTCCAATTTCTATGTTAGTTTACAAGTTGTTTAATTATTGTGTTTCATTGTACCAATTTATGTAGAACATGCAATGAATGCATGAGGCATCTTCATGAATGAATGAATGCTTGTGTGATATCACATGCGTGCATGCATGGTTATTCGTGTTTAAACTTGTAAACACTTCCAAATCATTGGAACAAGTTAATTATCTGGCTACTACAAGTACAAAGCATTTGGCTTGAACCTTTCCTTTACTACTACCATGCATAGGGTCTACCCTTTGTTTTTTACTTTGTAGTATGTAGTACTCTAATTTTAGTGAAGTACAAAACATGCGTGTACTTTTTCTTTCCGCGAAGACGTGCATGGATTTAATGAAAGGAAAAATTATATACTAAGCGATTAATTAAGCACGAATACAAACTACTTGCCTGCTTGATCGACTTTAGGGATTTTCATATTTGTGTGAATCGTTTAATAATATCGTGATTAATAATCATTTTTTATAAGCGAACTCTTGTCGGAGGAAGACGTAAGAAAAGATGGAAACAGATGAACAATGAATGAAATGACAACTACTAAAGTCATGATCATGATTATGCCAGATGAGAAAATTGTGTTAAACATTTCCAACTAGTACTAATTAAACTATGTTTGGTCCTAAGAGCTGATGCAGTAATCTTAGTCTACGCACTCTCAAAATGATATATTATTAGGGTATTGGCCAACTAGCTTTAGACCCGAAGCCTAATAATTGTTTGACGTTGATTCTCCATATGCGTGTTGAAATTTCTCCTTGGCTTCTCAATCTTATCACTGTTCTCCACTGTTGCTGTGCTGGTCCTATGATGTTTGATTAAAAGGCTCGGCGCTTTATAACAACAGAAAATAAGCATTGTCTTGCTCATAAGAAACCATGCATGTGCCTATTAGTTGCAGCAAATGACTTGGAAACCCAAACCTAATTGAGACTAGCAGTCATCCCCCACCACTGGTCATAATCCTGCAGACAAATTGCATTTCAAGCATCAACTTATTACATGTCGAAGATGGGATGTTATACCTTCCCACCCAATGCCATTTTAACAGCTAAATTCGTACGGTTGTTGAGAGAGCCCGTTTATAACTTTTACGATGTCAAATCTCCTTGCTGTGTTCAAAAGGGGTTGTTACACTGATGTTATATGTGGCTATTCTGGTTCCAATCTCTGGGGCATTGTATCAAACCACTGGAACCACCGACAGTTCATAATCTCCCAACAATTGATGTCGTGGAATAAGAGGATTGGTATATTTTGCGATAGGGGATTTAAGGTTGGGTATCTTGTACAATGCCACAGTATATATATATATATATATACGATGTCGTGTCAACCCTTCCGTTGTGCGATCATCTCTGATTGTTAATCATAATAGAAGGATAATGTACTAACCACCAATAGCATTGTAGATGATCTTTCAAGTTTCCCAGCTTAAACCCACAAAGTTGCAGTTGCAGAAAGTTGACATGCATTTTGATGAATGCTAATATTCTCAGTTCAAAGTCGAGTCCCACATTCTCACTTTCACTACTAGCTCCTCCATGTGCCTGCTCTTTGTTCTGTTTATATTGACAAGGAAAAAAAAAGAAGGAAGAAACCTCAAATCTTAAGCTATCTAGAAGGTGGATTATCAAGGTCCAACAACAGGACTAATGATGGTCAAAAATTGAACTCCACATGGAGATCTATCCAGTAAATCTTAGTGCAATAATCCTTAGTCAGTAGGACCCACGAATGTTGACTATTTTCATACAGGATGTAGCACTTCTTTTCCTCATTTGAGCTGGTTTGTCAACATAAACTCATTGTTATTTTTAACCCTACTATTGTAGCTTAGCATCTTTGTTAGCTGGAAATTCAGCAAGTGGAGACAATCTCCGACTAATAGATAGATTGTCCACATTATATGGTCTCATGCCCGATGGACATATATATATTATGCAGGAGTTGGGTACTGGATCCGACCACAAATGCGCAAAATATGTGTGCTGTGAACACTTTTCCTCATATTCTTAAAAAATTCTTGAAGATCATGAGTACTTTTTCACAGAGGCGTAAATGGTGGAAGCATGCAGGACTGAAAGAGATTTCCTTGAGAGTTTCCAGAACCACTTTGAAACTTCTAGCCATAAAATGACACAAATATGCAGTTAGTGGCATTAATGTTTGATATACTTTGCATTTTTTGGTTCTAGAAGAAGGGTTTGATTTGCACGTACCCTTTTGTTCTCCCTTATCAATATTACCAACATTAAGGTGCACTACCATAAAAAAACGAACAAAAAAAAAAGAGAGAGAGAGAGAGAGAGAAACGAGCCACGAATTTATTAACCATAGTTAATTCCAAAGCCAAAATCTTTCCTGCAGGGTGGACAGTGGACACCCAAATTTCCTCTATTTGTAAGTGGAGCCATCGGTATCATTCCAGCAGTGCAATTGTGTTGAGTAGTATTGCAATTGAAGACAGTTTCCCAGCATGTCTGAAAGCTGAAATTTCTCTGGTTATCAATAATAATAATATCAATTCACCATCATCCCGAAGACCGGATCACAACAGCAAGTCACAGTCCAAGTTTGAAGTTATATTTGGATGGGATGCCACCAATTTTCTTGCGCATGGAAATGCGGACAATCCACTGGCTCAGCCTTTATCTTCATAGGCATGCTCCCCTTCATGCCTTCAAGTCTACGTTTCACGCACCAACACATTTTATTTTCTTCCTTACCTTTTCACTTTGGACTGATAATTTCTTGTTTCTGCCAAATTGGTCTAGCTGATCAGACACCCCAGGGTAAAAAAACGTCATGACCCCACTTGGAATCTCTTGATTAAAGAGGACAACGTGCATGACAGTAGAGTGTGCTTCTGCTCAGCAAATGTATTTTTCCATGGGGAGAACTTGCTTGGGAACGCGTTGTTTTCATTTGGTATCAGATGCAGAGGAGTTCATGATCCATTATTTCCTTCTCAACATTATGTTGGAAACGTGAAGAGAATCATGGGCACTGCAAATTAATTGATTAAGCTCAAAACGTTTCATGG